GCACAAGGTCCTGAGTTTGATCCCTGGTACCACCAAAAAAAAATTTGCTTGTTTTTGTATATCTTTGAAAAAAAAAAAACTTTGTTTCATTGATCGCTGTTTTTTAAGTCTCTCCATCATTTATTTCTGTTCTGTCTTTTGTTTATTCTCCTAATTTTGGGTTTAGTTCTTGTTTTTCTTGTGTCTTGAGATGTGGTGATAGGTTATCTATCAGATCTTCCTCCTTTTTTGATGTTGCCACTAATGGTTAGACATTTCCATCTTATTTTCCCCTGTACTTTAGTGAAAGGTCTACAGGGTGTTCAGGGTCTCACTACTAGATCAAACTCGTAGTGATCCACCTGTTTGCAGCCTCCCAAGAGCTGGGATTACAGGCACACGCCACCACACCCAGTCTTAATTACTGTCTCAGTGAGCCCCAGGGACAGGGCCAGCACGGCAGGCCTGGGGATCCAACCCCTGGCCCCTGTGCCTGCTTGCAGGGGCTTTAATCTGCTGAGCTATTTGGCTGACATTTCCATCTTAATGCTATTTTTTACTATATCCATAGATTTTGGTAGTGTTGGTTTTCATTTGTGTGAATAATTTTTAAAATTTCCTTCTTGAATTTTTTCCTTGATCCATTAGTTGTTCAAAAGTAAATTAATTTCCACATATTTATATAGTTTCCAAAGCTCTTCTTGTTATTGATATCTAGCTTTACTGCATTGTAGTGGGAAAAGATACATGATAGGATTTCAATCTTTTCAATTCATTGAGACTTATTTTGTGGCCTATTATATAATGTGTCCTAGAGAATGTTCCATGTGATGATTTGCACACACCATATTTACAATATTAGAATATTCTGAATTTGTTTAGTTACTGTTATTAGTAAATTACATACCTGCCCATATGTCCTTCTTATTTATTAATGTCTCTGCTGGAAGCGGTCTGGCAGTGATATATACGCTCAGCTTTTGCCAGGAAATATATATATATATATATATATATAATAATATATTTAATATATATAATATATATCTCGTATCATTCCTTCATTTCTAAAGTGTAGCTTGTCCTGGCATAACATTCTTGGTTTACAATATTTTTCCTTCATTTTTTAATTCTATATTTATTTATTTTTAAATGTATTTGGTACAGAATCTCTTTATGCACCTTGGACTTGTAGTGACCCTCCTGTTTTTAGCCTCCTTAGCACTGGGACTAAAGGTGTGCGCCACCATGGGTGTTCTTGGTAGGCTCAGTGTTCCCAGAGTTGGGGCTGGTGCAACATGTGGTTCTGGGGATTGAACCCCCATCCCTCCCCTTGCCTAAGCAGACGCTTAGTCTCCTGAAATATCTCACTGGCCCTAATATTTTCCCTTCAATACTGTAAAAAATCTCATGTCACTATTTCCTGGCCTGTAAGATTTTTGCTGAAAATTCAGCTGCTAGGTTTACTGGAATATTCTATGTGTTGATTTTTTTTCCTCTTGCAATCTTGACAATCTCCTCTTTTACCTATGAGAATTCACTAATTCTTTGAAAATTCTATGGAGAGCTCACTACCCTTTTCTTCTGTTTGATCTATTCTGTTATTGATGTCCTCTGTTGAATTTTTAATTTCACTGAGCTTATTTTTCAGCTCAAGAATTTCTTTGACTTTTTAAAACTTTCTTCCATTTCTTGAGTTTCTGTTGAATACTGAAATATTTGAGTTCTTCCAGGTTCATTGACTTTACTTAAAACAGCTGCTTTAAATTCTGAGCATTCTCCCATACTGATAACTACTTGGTCAGTTTCTGGCATGTTTTTTTGAGTACTAGATGACCTCATGGTTTTTTGAAAGCTCTTTGATGCTTCTTGTTGTGCAACATCATCCAGGCTTTGAAGGATCAAAATTTCATTCCAGTCTTACTAATCTCTAATTTTTTTAAAAAAATGTATTTAGTGCAGGGCCGACAGGGTCTCACTGGAGAGATCAGACTTATAATGATCCTCCTGTTTTCAGCCTCCCAAGCGCTGGGATTCCAGGTGCGCGCCACCATGCCCAGTCTCAATCGCTGTCTCAGTGCACCCTGCCAGCAGGGCCAGCACGGCATGCTGGGTATTGAACCTGGCCACTGTGTCTGCCTAAGCAGATGCTTTAATCCACTGAGCTATCTGGCTGGCCCTCTCTAATTTTTTTTAATGTGCCTGTCTTTCTGTAAATTCTAGAAACTCCAGAAATTATTTTCTCTAAACCTGTAGCTACTTTCTCGATTTTAGCACTAGATTTTGCCCAGGTCCAGACTGCCAGGAGTTTGCTGTTCATGTGTTGTCATTTTTTCAGTACTAGAGGACAGTCTAAAACCAGGTTTGTCCCCAATACTTTGATAGTGTATTATTCCAAAATAAAGCAAAAGAGTATCTAGAAAGAGCAATCTATATCCACAGTCCTTTCCCTGGGGCCAAGGTAGATATTGATCCCTCTTCCATACTTACTAGCCTATGGGCAGACATTTCAAGATTCTGCCTGGCTTTGGGCAGAGTCACTGTGGATAGATGAGTTCCAGGTTCTAGTGTTACATTCATGATCACCAAAGCCTCCACGTTGAATCATACCCTGGTCTTAGTCCACAAAGGTATGGACAACACTGAATTAAGACACTGCTATGTGCTGCTTATTGCTGAGTTGGACTCAAACCCCTAACCATTGCAATAGCCATGGGCAATGCTAGCCAGAATATAAGTCTGACTGACTGAGGTGATGTGTCTTTCCCTAGCATTTCAGCAGTTACAGAGGCTTGTCTACAGGCAGGCTTTGGATAGGGTACATTAGGGTCTGTCCAGTGTTAGCTTTCAGTAGCCGCACACTAAGTTCTAGTGCAAAGTCTTCTGCTTCCTACCTTATCCTAACTCTAGTGAATGGGACTTTGCATCGCACAATGCTGCCTGAGTTTGCGGTAGTGTTGGTGAAGGAAGACACTTGTCTACCCAGGTTGATCTAAAGTGGCTCATGCCTGAGTCTCACAGCTGCAAGAATCTGCACAGTCTTAGAGATACACTAGGTATACCCTACAGCTGGCAGTGGTGCAGGCCAAAATATGAACCTGTCTCACTAAGGTATAGATTTTTGCCTAGTCCTGAGGCAGTCCTTGATTCCCATCTGTGAGCACTGGTCTGGAGATAGCTGTGCTGTTCGAAGTTAGGAGATGGGTGAGAGAGATTGTCCTTTGGCCACCAAGGCTGTTATTAAGCTGGGTTGCCCCTGATCTAGCAGTCAAAGGGACCTACACTGTCTCTGGAGCAGGGCAGGTATTCCCTAGGCCCACTCCAAGGCTAGAATGGTGTGGCTGAAGCTTTTGTCTGTCTTGCAGATGCACAGGTTTGTACTTAATGCTGAGTTTATCTAGAGACTCTGTGAGCTCTGGCCTGAATCTGGGGCTTTAGTTTCATTTGTGTTATTGGTCTCAGCACAGAATACCCCACACTGGGCTTTCAGGCCAAGCCCTGTACTAGATTTTTTGCCATGCTTCCCAGCAGATGGAGTCCTGCACCAAGATGGAGGAAGGCTGGTAAAGCTGCCTTTAGCCTCCTGGCTTTATGCAATTCTAGAGCCAGGCATTGGCCTTATGCAATTCTAGAGCCAGATATTGGCAGTAGGGATTGTAGAGCTTTCCCCAGAATGGGGTTTCATTGTGATGAGCAAAGAACTAGCTTTTAAGTCTAAGCCTGGAATTTTGTTCTGTCTCCCCAAAGCAAGAGGTTCCTCTTTCCACATTGGGCTGTTTGGTGTTGAGAAAAAGCTGATACAGGAAACTTTCCTTTCAGCCTTCTTCAATGCCTCATTTCATTTTGTTATTCTAAAAGCTTGTCGTATGGTTTCTCACCTGATTTCCTAAGTACTTGTGCTGGTACTTAGGTGTGTGACTAGCAGTTCAATTTGATGTATCTGTTAGAAAAGCTGACCGAAAGGTCTTGTTGTGTTACTCTGTCCCCACTTTTTAGTATTTTGAGTGCATGGTTAGTTGAATCTACAGATGAACAACCTGTGGATATGGGAGGTTCAACTGTGGAGTCATATTAGGTGTTAGGGCTTCAGTACTTGAATTTGTGTGTGTGCACGGATGCAATCTGGCCTATAGCAGGTCATGTAATTAAGAGTTCCTGGGCTAGGTGACAGGTGGCCTTGAACAGAGTAGTCAGGGAAGGGCTCTTCACAAGATGATAGTCATGGTTTTGTGTAGCAACTCAGTTTTAGTTGTGTATTCAGATACTGTTTTTCTTGTGGTTTTGCTTTGATTTGCTTGGAGAGGGAAGACACTGAAATATTTGAAGCCTGAATTCAGATTCCATCTTTACCACTTATGACCCAAACAAGTTCCTTACCTACTCTATGCTTTATAAGCTTCATGTACAAAATAGGAATAGTGATAATATCCACCTCACAGACTAAGGTAAGGTTTTACAGTGCTGTCTAATAGACCATTGTGTTCTGTCTGGCATGGTAACCACTACTCTCTTGTGTCTATGGAACACTTGAAACGTGGCTAGTGAGACTGAACAACTGAACTTTAAGTGGCACTTAATTTTTTTTTTTGGTGCGGTACCAGGGATTGAACTCAGGACCCTGCAAGTGCCAGGCAGGAGCTTATTCTACTGCAGTATCTCCCTAGCCCTTAAGTGGCACTCAATTTAAATAGACACGTGTAGCCAGTAGTTCCAATATTGAACACCACAGATTTAATAAATTCACATATGTAAAATTCTTAGCACTGTGCCTGGTGTAGAGTATCAATAAATGGTCACAACAGTTTCTCTGGCCAGAAGAAATTTTGTTTTATTTTGTTTTGGATAAAAAGCAATCTCACCTTAATTTATTATATTGTCTTGTTCTCCAAGGGCATGGTTCTGATATTTATGATACTAGCTCCCCACCTACCCGCTTGTCTTTCTGCTGAGCTATCTGACAGCCAGATGCCTGGCAGGTGGTCTGCTCCTGGGGGACTGATTGCAGTATGCTCTTCCCTATGCAGCAGGGTAGAGATCACTGGTGGGTACTATGAATACATCGATGTCAGCAGCTGCCAGGACATCATCCACCTCTACCACCTACTCTGGTCTGCCACCATCCTCAACATTGTCGGCCTGTTCCTGGGAATCATCACTGCTGCAGTCCTTGGAGGCTTTAAGGACATGGTAAGGAAGGAACTGACTTTCCATTTCACAGGGGCTCCTCTTGGAAGTAGGGAACAAGAACAGGTGCTTAGGGCAATGGAGATCTATATTTTGAAGGGAGGAACCAAAGCAACTGCCTCAAAGATATAGCTGCTGCCAAACAAGTCGGACTTCAGAGGCCAGGTAATACCATCAGTCTACAAATATCACTTTTTAGCATGAATTAGCTATATTTTGTAGGAATACTTTGAAGGTGGGATGTGAGTGATGTCCTCCATTCTTCCATCGCCCTGACTATATACATAGTTTTATTTTCCCTTGTCCCTGACACTTTTAGTAGAAGCCTTCTTGTATATTTTCCCCCTCAATAGTCTTTGGGAGAGAAAGAAGGAAAGAGGTTTTTTAGTCATAGGTAAGGCTAAAGCTAGTCTCTTCCCCTCAGGGAATTTCACCCTGGAGTTTCTCAAAGAAAACATCCAGGTTCCATTCTTTTGTGTTTGAAAAGCCAGCCTGAGGCTGTTGCTTGCCAGGTCTTGCCTTCAACCTCAGCCTACCTATGTTCTTGTTCCTCTCCTCCAAATCTTGTGTGTGTGTGTGTGTGTGTGTGTGTGTGTGTGTGTGTAAAGGTACAACAGGACTCAGCACCCAGTGGGTGCCTTGCAATAATAGGCTCCCTCTTCCATTTGCTTTTAAAACATTTTAAGCATTCATTTGTTAATTTGATAAAATTTAATCTCTAATTATGGAGACAACAGTTTCCAGCCATGGTGATCAACCTGGCTTAATATTAAAATCCCTTAATGTGTTTAATAAAATACATCAAAACATAAAAAGCTTATGTGCTTGGTCCCCTTATCCAGAGATTCTGATTTAACTGCTCTAAACTGAAGCCTAAGCATCAATGATGTGTTAACAAGTTCTCCAGGTGATTTTGTTCTGCAGCCAGGATTGAGTGATACCTCTTTAAAGGAATGTTCCATGTGTGCTCAGAGAATTATTGTGTGCCTAAAAAGGCTTTCCTTTGACTCCAGAAATGAGACAGGTAGATCCCAGACCCTTGATGGTTTCTGTACCAATTGGGCTTCCTGAGGAACAAGAACCTGAAAGGCAGTTTGTAATTTTGTTCTAGACTGTCAAAAGGATGGGTCATGGAAAATTAAAGTTATGGGAAAAGAAACAAAAACTAGTTTGGGGCAGCAAGGCCCCAGCAGGACTGGACAGACAGGGAGTATTGAGTGTTCCTGCCAGTGAACGTACACGAAGGAAAATCCCTTCCTGTCCACACTCCCTTTCTCTCTCTTTCATACACACATTTCTCACTCCTACTTTCCCATCACCTGGAAAGCCCACATACTAAGTCGTGGAGGAAGCATTAACACAGAGGGGGCCTTAGGAGGGATCAGGATTTCTCTAGGTTAGAGCCTGGGGAGAGTTTAGGGAAAGACCTGTACAACCAGTGTTTCTGAATTGAGGCTTCTTTTTTTTTGTTTTTTAGATAATTTATTATTTTTTTATTTTTTATTTTGTATATTGTACAACTTTAGTCCTTGAGACAGACATTATTTTTCACTGAGGTACAATTTTCACAAAGTACAGTGCACACTTTTTTCTTGTACAGCCTGATTTTTTTTCTTTTTTTCCATAAATTTATTGAGAAACAAATAACAATGAGAGAGTTTCAAACCAAATTGGTAGGACAGTTTCAATAATTAACACATTGCATACATTCTTCCTAGTAGTTAATTGCTGGACAAGATGTGGATATGATATCCTATTTACAGACACCATTAGAACAAATCTCTCTATTCATTAAGACAATGTAACTATATATTTATCCTAACCACTTTGAATACACAGATAAAAAATGAACATTCATCTGTATTCCCCTTTTTTGTTCAGTTCTGTTATTTGAATATTATAGGTGTATAAACTCAGCAAAATATACTAAAAGAGTTCAGTAGCCCATAATAGTATTGGGTCTTCTGCTTGACTGGCAATGTCAGAAATTGTTGACCTGAGTTCCCTACAGCTCAACATAACAGC